TATATATATATATATATATATCCCGACTTTTTGGTTGACATCTGCAAAGTAAGTTCTAAGTCCCTTAGGGTCGGGAGTTCGAACCCGCTTATGTGCGGATAAGTCGAGTGGTTAGACATATGAGGTTAATTGATGGCTCGTGTGTATATGTATATAATGAATTATTCAATCTTTTCCTATAAACATACATCATATCATAGAAAATTAATGATATTTGATAGTATGAAATTTTTCAAAGGATTTTTCAAAGGACCAAATTTTGGATTATTTTGTGCAATTTACAAGTCATTGTAACACCAGGTTGAGGCTGCCTATCGCATCAAGCCACAATTTTTACTAGTATAAGTTAAAATTTCATTTGTTACTTTATGACATGTGACAATTTCACCACCAAAAAATTATTGTCAAAGCTTTTTTTATATTGAATAAGCTATACTCAAAAAAAGGAAAAGAAATAATGGAAAGAAGGCCTTCAATTTTTTTTCTTTTAAATACCTTGAGATTTCCGTGAACAAGGAAAAAAGAGATATATATATAATTGATTAGTAGTATTTCGAGCCAAAACGAGCTGAACACGAACAAACAAATATTTGTTCGTGTTGTTTGTGTTCGGCTCGTTAACTTAGCGAACGAGCCAGACACGAGTTTCTTAACGAGTCAAACACGAGCTGTTTGCGAGCAACAAGCCGTTTTGACAGCCCTATATACTACCATCAAAAAGGCCTTTTTTTTTTTTTAACTTTCAAACATTTTGGATCCCTTATAATGCCATTGAAATACTATGTTAAAATGTTCCAAGCTCTATGAACATATTTTGATAAAATCCATTGAAGATTTTTTATCAATGAGTTCACCTATAAAGTTCCAGTATCTCTACAGAAACAAGATTACGATGTAGAAATAATATTTTAGCTGATGGCCCTAAGTAGTGATTTAAACAAGCCTTAAATAGCATGTCATACATATTACACATCATAATAATACAGTGGAGACCTAGACAACATGAAAAATGTGAGACTCAATATGTTGCATGCTTATAAGAGTGAAGTTCCATTGTTTGGAATGACAATTGTTAGACATCAATGACTGTCAAAGAGACAAATGTCAATGGCTAAAGAGTGTTGAATGTTGATGGCTGACAATCATTGGTGGCTAATATAATTGAATGCTAGAGGCAGATGGATATCAATCATTTATAGGTGTCAAAAAATGGGAGATAAAAAATGTCACAAGGCAAGCAATCATCAATGGTCAATGTGGTCATTCTCCTGATTAAGAAAGAGACAAGTCAATCACAAGGCAGATATGGGATGCTATTGGTTGCGGTTGGCAGACATAGAATGTCCGTTGTTGGTAAATGCTAGTTAATGATTAATTAGAAACACCAGAAGTTGTGTGACAATCAACTCAATCATTCTCTTGTAATTAGACAAGAATGTCCAACAAAGAAAATAATAGTCGGATGTCAATCATGGATGTGTGTTGAATGATGACCAATGAATGACATCAAAAGTCTGATAAAAGCAGATATCAACATTGGCAGATGAATGAAATTGAATGATGGCAGTGAAAAACATGACATTACACAATGAATGTTTTTGGCGGTGGTGAAAATGAACATCAATGTTGGTTGACGACCGATGTCGAGGGCTGGAAATAACAAGCAACATTATCGGTTGATAGTGAGCAGAGCTCTACATCATCCAGGTCTAAGAATTCACTCAACCAAAATTTATTCATTGAATGTGTAAAAACAATATTTAGAATAAAATGAGGGCAATTCTAATTTAGAACGCTAAATTAACAATGAATATCAATCATAGAACATATCTCAATTGATAAACCATCCTAATAAAAATTACATATTTTACACTCCATAAACTACAAACATAAAATTAGAAAATATTACATCAAATTAGGTAACTATATATATTTTTTAATAAAGCCCTGCACAAGATGTGGTTTTCTTACTATTGTTTAGTTTATCCATCTATTAGATGACATTTTTGCAAAAGAGATAATTGCTCCAAAAAAACTTTCTCTATCCATTCATGATATGGGCTTATAAAGAACATTATAACGTTTTATAAATAAACCCCTAGGCTTCTTCTATATTTCTTTTTTATCAATAGAACCCTAAATTAGTTACAAATCTCAACAATTACCATGATGCCGTCACACTTTTTGTCCTATATGAATAACTGTTTAAGCACTCTGTTCGATAAAACAATCACCCTCCAGTATCCTTAGTACCTGCATGATAAAATTACGTAAATATGTTTTAGATTTTCCTTTCACATGTTCTATCATGCAATTTGTAGCTTACTTCCTAAAATCTGCAGAGTACTTGCCTGAGACATAAGTGGCCTAGCTTCGGGATTTATATTGATGCATAGAGATGCAGCACGCAGCATACAGATTGCCTCTTTCTCATTGTAGTTGTTTCTAAGATTTGGATCCAGTAGAACTTTAATGGCACATTCATCCAATAATGGCCGAATCTGACCTCAAAAATAGGATAAAAAAACGAAAGTTATTTTCTTAATTTTGTAGAAATGATCTGAACAAGTGAAGCTTGTTCTTGCAGAGAAAAGCTAGGATTTAATAGTAGGGTATCACTGCTACATTATAGTTTTGTCCTTTTTATATAAAAATAAACAAAAGAAAAATTTAGATACTCAATTCTTATGTATTTACATATTTAACACTTTAATTATTACATATAAGTCAATACACCTAAACTTCAATTTTTACATATATGTCACCTGTGCATGAAAAGATGTATTTCACTTTTTAAATGGTAAAATAGTGGTATTTTGTTAAATTAAGGATTTGGGTGGTAGAAAGGGAAAAACTAAAGTTTAGGTGTTAGATATGTAAATCCATAGGAATTGGGTGGTGTTCATGTTAACTTGACCATATTAGTACTAACCCATGCAGTGAGACGATGCTGACCCTTTGGTCTTCTAATATCCATAGCTCTTCTTCCAGTTAGGAGCTCCAGCAATACCACTCCAAACGAATATACATCAGCTTTTTCAGTGATGTGGACATTCTTACTGTATTCTGGTGCCAAATACCTGGATATGACCAAGTTATTGAATTAGAACTATTTTAAGCTAAGGGGGGTTTACGTGCATACCATCCAACTGTTATGTCTTTACATATCTAACACATAAAATTTGATTTTTTACTATTCTATCACCCACATCTTTCACATCACATCAAAAATATCACTATTTTAACCTTTAAAAAGTGAATACACCTTTTCATGCATAGGTAAAGTGGCGAATATGTAAAAAATAAAGCTTGGGTGCTAGATATGTAAAGACATAGGAATTGAGTGGTATGCATGTAAATCTTTCTTTAATTTATAGGTAAAGTTATGAAGAAGTAACAGTAATGTCATTGCAGGGTTACCCAAAGGATCCAATAACTTGTGTTTCGACACCAAGCCCTTCATCAGGCTTCCATCTTGCCAGGCCAAAATCTCCAACCTTACGAAAATAAAATGTGGGTCTTAATGGATAAGTCTTCAACTCTTGTAGAAATACTTTAAAACAGATGACATCTATCATGATAGAAAACAAATTATTGCCTTCAAATACCTCCTGTTAGCTTCCAAATCTCTTAAAAAAGGGTAAAAAAATTCTCTTTATTTCTATGTTTTTTGGGGAGTAAGACAAATCATCATCGCCTAACAGTAAACTAAGAAAAAAAATATCCTAATAATTAAAAACAATAAAATCAAAATAATGTTGAAAAACTAATAAAAAATACTAGTAATTTTGCAATGGCTTGAACAATTTCGATACAAGTTTTATGTTGCATCCACTTCCCTTCGGCCAATAGAACTCTTCCCTTGAACGACCATGTAGTTGCGTTTTATAGAAAAAACATATGATTTTGAAAAATATAAGAGGTGGTGGAACTAGTTCATGAATATTTCTTGAATCCTTGGCATGTCAAACAAAACATAAGGGATAAAATTGAGGGAAGGTCGCATATATACCATACAATGCTAATGCATTTACATATTTAATACCTAAAGTTTAATATTTACATTTATAAAACTTTAGTTTTATAATCTATGTATCAAAAATGTATTTCACTTTTAAACAATTAGTAATAATATAATTTTTTATGTGATGGTAAAGATTTAAGTGCTATATATGTTGCATTTATAACTTTTTTTAATTAAGTGTAATTTTGTATTGTGGCTTTACTTGTATGCGCTTGTACTCTTCTATGAAAAAGACACTTCGGACTTATGAGAGATGTGTGGTGAGAAGTGTTGAAGTTGTAACCCCTAGCCTTTTTCTTTTTCCCCAATCTTTACTAGTGGAATCTCCCTCCTTGTGGACGTAAACGAATCAATTTAACACCGAACCATGTAAATTTTTTGTGTTCGATTGTTGTTGTGTTAATTCTTTTCGTTTATGCATTATTTTTGCATAACAATTAGTATAAGAGTTTTGGGTTTTAGAATGTGGTTCGGATTCGACAACAACAAATTTGACGTGTATTACCGGCGTTTATTGTGCCAAGTGATCCTACATGCTTTGCCGATAGATTTGGAGGCTCGGGAAGACCAGCGTCTGGCCGGCAACTTGGATGCGTAGATCCGGTGAGCAGGTAGACGTGTGGCTAGAGGTGAAGATTTGGCGAGTTTTAGTTCGGTGGCGGCTCCGGCGGCAGACCTGCGGCGGCTCAGGTGGCAAACAAACGACGATTGATGGTTCCGACGAGCTGAACGGAGCGACTGGAAGATCACTTCTAAGTTGGAACAGAAAGGAAGGAAAGAAAATTTTTTTAAAAAAAGGAAAAACTGCTTCAGTTAAGATAATTTCGCGGAATCAGGAAAAAATAAAAGGAATTCTTTGAACAAGGAGTTTTTTTTTTTTAAGAAAAGGAAACTTTTTAAAAACAGGATAGAAGAATTTCGGGAAAAGAGCTTTGCGTGAAACGAGCGAAAGAAAAAAAAAAGTTTTAAAAAGAAAAAAATGAATTCTGGAAAGTAATTTCGGTAAAAGAAAAAAAATTTGGGAAAGGGCAAAAAAGAAAATAAAATTTTTATTTTTTAAAATTTATTTCTTTTTTTAGGCCAACCTTTTCTTATTTATTTATTTTTCTAGATATTCTATCAGAGGAATTGTTTTTGGAAAGAGATTTCAACAATGGAAGCAATAAAATATCACACGATGTTAAGTTCATCAATGTCCATATGACAATAGAAAGTCAATTAATCAGGTAATTACAGATCTCGTCAAAATCGATGTGACAAAAGTTGACGACGAAAGAAACATTGACATGTGGCGATGAAAGGTGATAGATGCGCTGTGTTCTTTGAATCTAGAGAAAACTCTAGATAGTGAGGAATGTCCTGAAGAGATGTCAGAGAGATTGGTTGAAGATGAACCGGAGTGACTGTTGCTTGATCCAAAATTGTTTGACTCAGAAGATCAAACATGGGATAGTGTGGAGATTTTTGTTTCTGTAGAGAAATTGTGGAGGACGTTGGGGAACCAATATCTCACGAAGCGTGTGGAGAACTGTCTTCATATGAAACGTTGACTCCACATATTTCAAATAATATAAAGAGTTACTATTAATGAGCAATTGAATGATTTCACAAAACTGTTAGTAAATCTGTTAAATTTGGATGAGGAAGTTGAAGATGAAGATAATACACTCTTTTTTTTTTTAATTTGCTCCTAAATGAGTAAAAAAACTTCATGATGACACTCATTCGTGAAAATGAGATCTTGAATTATGGCGAAGTAACTAAGGCGTTGTTGAATCAAGAATTTTATTGAAGGAACAAGAAGTCCGCAAATATAGAGTCGGTTGAGACACTTACACTCCAACTTAGCAGATCTGAGAAGAAGAGTTTGACAAATAAAGGTGACAGCGACGACACTTCTCAGAAGCAAGGCAAGTCTTGTGGACGTAGTCTTGGAAAAAATTAGTGTGTGTTTTTTTTAGAGTCTGATTGTTGAAAAAAAGATTATCTGAAGCTAAAGGGGAAGAGAAATGAAATTGCATCTAAGGCGAAAGCCAATTTCATTATGAAAAGATGTGAAGAGGCAGATTCAGATGTATCATTATCTGTAGTTTCTCATAGTTTGGTTATAGATGATCCATGCTGGATTCTAGACACAAGTGCTACCAATCCCATTTGTCTTCATAGAGAGTGGTTTTGTACGTACAGTGAGCTGGATAACAGTGCAGTGACTATGGGCAACGATCAAGTTTTTCGTACGATTGATGTAGAGAGTATTTTAATTAGAATGCATAATGGTACTATGAGGAAGCTGACAGATATTAAACATGTTCCAAATATCAAGAATAATTTGTTGTCAGTTCAGGTAAGGGTTCTGAAAATATGTCATGGAGTAATAATTTTTATAAAAGGAGTTCGTCATCACAACCTTTACTATCCTCAAAATAGTGTTGTAGAGCAATGATTTCTGATGATTCTTCTGACGCCACTATGTTGTGGCATATGCGGCCAGCTCATGCTGGAGAGACTTGATTTCTATAATCATTGTATATTTAGCAAAAAGACACGAGTATTTTTTGGTACTGTCATCTACGATATAACAAATATTTTAGAATATGTTCACACAGATGTTTAAGGCACGACGAAGACAACATCATTGTGATACTTTGTATCTTTTATTAATGATTACTTCAGGTATGTTTTGGTGTATAACATGAATCGCAAAAGCGATGTGTTGGAGATTTTTATAACATGGAAGAAGCAGATTGAGACTCAGATTGGTAAAAAGATCTAGTGTATCAGATCAGATAATGGAGACGAATACACTTCAAAAGCGTTCTTGCAAGAGTGTCAGGGAGTTGGGATAGACCACCGCTTGACTTTTCAAAATTCACCGCAACAGAATAGGGTGCCAGAGAGGATGAACCGAACTTTGGTGGAGAAAGTTTGGTGTGTGCTATCCAATGTTGGGTTGAATAGAGTCTATTGGGTCCAGGCCATAGACTATGCATATCACTTGGTGAACCGTTTACTTCTGCATCTATTAGAAAGAAGACCCCAAAAGAGATGCGGTCAGGGCATCCTGTTAGAGAATATAAGCACATGAGAGATTTTGGATGCCCAGCTTACTACCACGTGCAACATGATGAACCGAAACCACAAGCAAATAAGGCAATCTTCATTGGCTTCAGGCATGAAGTTAAAAGCTTCAAATTGTATGATAAAAAAGAAAGGAAGGTTGCATTAGCAAGGATGTTACATTCGATGAGGTAAACTTGTTGAAAAATCGTGACTCAAAGCAGATGGAGAGTTCTACTGGGACCACACATATGCAACAGAAGTTAAAGTTTGAAGCAACTTAATTTGTTCCACAAAGTTTGTTCACTCCGACTTAGATGTCAGATTCATTTGCAGCTCAGGAGTTATCCATTGATCGAGCTTAGAAGAAGGTGGAAGAAGATGTTGAGGATAAGACTCTTCCTCAGGAATCTATTGCTGGGAGAAGGATCAGGCGCCAAAATGCACAAAACCAGCTTGGTTAAGGGATCGCATTGCATTTGCACTATCAGCCACAGAGGCAGAAATTCCTTGTCATTACAAAGAAACGGTGAATAGCCCAAACTGTGATCTTTAGAGAGTAGCAATGGATGAAGAGATGAAGTTTCTTCGAAAGAATGGTACTTGGAGGTTGGTGAATCATCCTCTATGAAGGAAAGTCGTCAATTGTAAATGTGTGTATGTAAAAAAGGATCTTATCAAGCTGATGTATGGTACAAAGCAAGATTAGTGGCAAAATATTTTGTGCAACATAAAGGGATTAATTAAATGAGTTGGTCTCCCCAGTGGCCAAGCATTCCCCAATCCGTGTTCACTTAGCACTTGTAGTACTGTTTGGATATGAATATTTCATTCCTACACATAGAATTGCAAGATAAGATCTACAAGTTGCAGGTGTCTGGATATGGAGCATAAAAAACTTAGTATGCAAGATAGAAAAACCTTTGTATTGGTTAAAGCAGTCACAACGACGGTTAAATAAAAAATTTAATCAGTTCAAGAGAGGACGGGAGTACACAAGGAGTCAGTATGTTTATTGTGCATATTTCAAGAAAGTTGCCAACAGTGAGTTCATTTATTTGCTTCTATATGTTGATTGCATCTGTTATCAGAGTAAGGTTGATGCAATACAAAATCTACTGTCCAAACATTTCAAAATGAAGAAGTTTGGTGAAACTCGCAGAATTCTTAGCACGAAGATTCTCAAGGGCAAAACAACTGAAAAATTTTAGCTTTCACAATAAGGCTTATGTTTGGAAGGTGTTGAAGAAGTTTGGGATTGGTGACTTGAGCAAGGCGGCGAGTTTATCCATTATGTCTCACTTTCAATTGAGTTCATATCAGTGTCTTAAAGCTGATCAGGAAAAGAAAGATATTAGATCAGTTCTTTATGCTAGTGCAGTGGGCAGTCTGATGTAGATCATGGTTTGTATTATACCAGATATTGCACAAGCAGTAGATGTTGTGAGCAAGATTCATACATGATCCATGAAGAAAATATTGACAAGCAGTAGATGTTGTGAGCAAGATTCATACATGATTCATGAAGAAAATATTGACAGACTGTGAAGAGTATTTTGAGATATCTGAAGGGTACAACTGATATTGGCTTGGTGTTTGAGAGACAATCATCTATTATAGATTTGTGTGTAGGATATACTAACTCAGACTATGCAGGAGATATGGATAGGCAAAGCTCTAAAAATTGTTATTTATTCACGTTGGCAGGAGCTTCAGTCAATTGGAGATCGGTTCATCAGTCTACTGTTGCTTTGTATAATATAGAGGTTGAGTACATGGGAGTCACGGAGGCGGTGAAAAAAACGCATGAATACAGAGCCTAATGGATGACTTGGGAGTTGATCAGGAGTCCTGACTGTGTTCTGTGACAATCAAAGTTCGATATTCTTGACCACAAATTCAGTTCAACATACATGTACTAAGCACAATGATATGATGTACCAATTTGTTCGAGACTTGATTGATAACGACAATATTCTGTTAAAGAAGATAGATATAAAGGAGAATCCAACGGACATCATACATGATCATGAAGGTACTACTAGTTCAGAATTTTACCTACTACAAAACTTAGATGAATATCTAAGCTCAAGATTAATAGCCCAGTATGACATTTTGAATAACTACGCGAGGCTTGATTCCTTCGGGAGGGGTAGGCAACCATCTTAGTGCAGTTGAATTAGAGTTTGAAGCTCATTTGATCATCTTTCACTTATCTGAAAGTAAAAGATGAGATGGAGATTGTTGTATTTATTACTTTTTTAGTTAAGGGTAATTTAGTCTTTTAGTTTTATTTACCGTATGTCCTAGTCCTCATCTATAAAAAAGAGACTTAGAGCTTATGAGAGATGTGTGGTGAGAAGTGTTGAAGTTGTAACCCCTAGTTTTTTTCTCTCTCCATCCGGTACTAGTGAAATCTCCCTCCTTGTGGACATAGACAAATCAATTCAGCGTTGAACTATGTAAATCATTTATGTTTGATTATTGTTGTATGAATTTCTTCATTTTCACATTATTTTTGCATAACAATACATGTAAATATGAAAGTTTAGGTGTGAAGCATATAAATACATAAAAATTGTGTGATATTACATGCCTATGATTTGAACGCCATCATGTATCATATATCTCTCGTAAATTGGTACCATAGAAGAGGATCCCATCATCAGATGGTCGCAATGGTAACGTGAAGTCATGAACTCGCTTGGGCTTTCAGTGAGAGGCCACCAATGATTTTAAAGCATGTGGAATAATCAATATATCTAGAGAAGAATCATGCAAGAAAACAATAAAATGTTTATCAATTTGTTTCACTCAACTATAGTGATGAATGAAGATATCTCAGTTTTAATAATAAATTTGGTCACTACTTCATATTAGACTTCACAATAGAAAGAGAGGAGAATAGAGTTAGTCTTGGCTATCTTGGGGCCATATTGGAGGAGAAAGGGAGAGGTCAGAAATCTTAAAAATCCCTTGAATTTGAGAGAGAAGGTATAGTGTAGAGAGGAGAGAAAAAAGATGGAATCCAAGGTAGTCCCCCAAAGTCACCACTCATATTAAGTCATTAAAAGAATAACAAGTGTGCATATAGTGTTGTCAATATGCAAAATTTTCATAATTTGGCAGGGCAAGCAATGCCAATCTTTTCAATCTAGGCTTTTGGTTCCCTTCTAGTTTATTCATCTGATTTGGTTTTTGAATATTACGATTACAAGGCCAAATCAAACTCAAATCCCTGCAAAAATACCAACAACATTATTACAACTGTGACTAAAACAACCTTAGGGACATCAAGCATTAGTTGCATAATAGGTAGAACAAGAAGATAAGTTAGGCAACTAAAAAAATATTCTTCAGAGCTTAAAAGGATCTCATAGTAAGGTTACCAGTGCTTCAAAATCATGTGTGATTAGAATGTTGTTTGGTCTCATGTCTCGGTGGATTATGCAACCAACTCTGCACTCTTCATGAAGGTACCTCAATCCACGAGCAGCACCAACAGCAATTTTTCTTCTGGCAGCCCATTCCAATCTTCTTTGGTTCGAACCTAGAGAAAAGCAATGGAGCTAAAAGCAATTCCCATTTGTCATTCTGAATGGCTTCTATGAGGACTGGTGAAGCTGCGTTTCTCTTTTGCAGAATGTATATTTCTTAAGTTGTATGATTAGCAGAAGAAAATTCTAAACTTGTACTTCTCATCAATATCCAACTAACATAAAATATAGATTCTTCCTTGCAAGTAAGAAGTTCTAGTAAATTATATCTTTCTTAGATTCAACTTCTGAATCAATCTTAAGCAAGATATTGGTCAAAAGGTTAACTGAAAATTAAAAATAATTCACAATTTTAACATATGAACCCCTGATATCGAATAAAATAAATGGCAAAAGATATAATTTATAACGTACTTCAACTAGTCTAAAGAAGGCATCTTCATCAATACTACTATAAAAAGCATCAAAGAGGTTGCTGAAAGAAAAACCCATCAATACATTTTAAATACTCAGCCTAACCCATTAAGATTTTCAAAACATAGTGCTTACTGTCTAAACATGCATGAGTGAGTTTCCTTCCATACAGCCTAAGGAAATCAACCTAATATTGTCAAAAAGTGTATATATTACCATATAAATGAAAATTTAGAGAACCATTGCATACATATTCATAAACCAGTAGCCTTCTTTCACCCTCCTTACAGAAACCAATTAACTTCACCACATTACGATGCTGCGCACAGCTTAGAACTTCCACTTCTGAACAGAACTCAGCGTCTCCTGGCGAACCAGCAAGTTTATTCTGCTTAATTGCAACCAGCTGACCATCAGCTAAAACACCTCTGTAAACAACGCCAAAGCCACCCTCAGCCAAAAAGTTATCTCTAGAAAATCCTCCTGTAGCAAGACTTAACTCAGCATAACTAAATGATGTGGGGGGCTTCCCAAATCCAGTTGTTTTGTGTTTACAAATTGAACATAAAGGAGGAGGTCCTAAAGATGCATTTTCTGACAGTTCAATAGGTTTTCTAACATGCCTGTCAAGCTTAATATCTTCTATATGCATTCCAGATTTTATGCCAAGTTTGCTGAACTTGGACACCAAGTCCTTTTGCATGTAGCAGTCCTCTTTTTTAACTTTCAGTGAGTGTTCTTTCTTAATCAATCTTTCATCAGTGTCATGACACAGATCCATCCATGGATAAAACCACAATGTTGTCAAACAACTCCGGCATTTACAGCAGGATTCAGAGCTACTCAGTCGTTTCTTTGAGTCCACCTTTATCTCAGATAAAAGAAATGGGGAACTCGACTTAGAAGTTGTTCCTAATTCAGTATTAGTTAAATGTGACCATAACTCAGGGCTGCTAGATGGATTCATCGTTTGGTCTTCAGTAGTGTTTTTATATTCTGGAGTAAGTATCCTGAACACATGGGGTTCTCTCTCAGGCGACTGAAGTAAATTAAGGCGTAGAATCTTCGGTTGGGTATGCTTGAAAATTACAATGTTACAGTGAAGCTCCTTCATGCATTTCTTCTCCTCGCTCTTCAGTTGTCTGTACAGCAATGATTTTGCTGAATGAATGAATGCGAGAAACAGAAAAAGCTTATGTCAACAAGAAACTACGCTAACACAAAAGATACTAAATTGTTCTGATAGCTTAAATTCTATAGGGTCATTTGAAATCACTTCCATTTTTTATTTTTGTTTTGTTTTATGTTTTGATTTGAAACAAAACATGTCTCATATGTTATAACAAATTTAGTTGTTTTAAAAAATGCTCAAAATAATTTTTAAGTTGTTTAAGTGTTTTTAAAAACAATTTAATTTGCTTCTAAAAATAAAATATAAAAACATAGAAAAAATACACTGATCAAACATGTTTTAAACTAAAGGCAAAAATAAAAACACAAATAAAAAATAAAAGTGATCCCAAACAAGCCCTAATGAAACAAACAAGTTCGGCAAAATCTGCTTAAAATTTTACTCAATATATAATGATTACTTGTCCAACACTACCCAGTTTGCTTGCACTCTCCTGGATTCAGCCACAACTGCTCCACAAGGTGATCCCGAAATGATTTTTACTTTAATTTTCATCTACAGGAAAATGAAAGATAAAGGCACGTAAGTTACAAATTAAAGAGTAATCATAAAAGAGTAATTTAGCAACAGGTTGATGGACCAACCTTGCTTGTATCACATATACCGCGAAGTTGACAAATCATATGAGAACATGAGCCTGTTAAATCATATTTGAAGCTTGAAGTATTAACAGAAGTCTTTGACCTCTTGCATCCACTTGAACATTCTCTTGAAAACCTGGGAAAATTCCGAAGTATTTGAGCTGGTTGTGAAGAAAAACATGAAAAATATATTAGTTTTCCATATGAGAAACAAAATTTTTTATGGTTTTCCACAGAGCACAAAAATATACTAAAGAAGGAAAGCAACTTTCTGCAATACTTCATCAATAGAGAGCTTGTTAAGACTGTAGAACTATCAAAGAAAGCATGTTGTGGATACTATATTACTTAAATATCTTGTTTAGATTAATTACTGTAATTAGTTAATAGATTGATATTATTGTTGTACTATCCTATCTCTTGTATTCTATAAATAGATCTTATTGGAGCACATTCAAGTATGAAATGAAAAATGTAGTTGCTAGTTAGTTCTCTCTTTTGGGCAATGTTACTTATTTTCTTGTTTTAGGAGTTGTTGGCACCCTCGAATCAGCGTTTATCAACATTCAAGAAGCGGGTTCATATCAATGGCGCTTTCGTTGAGAGTTATGTAATAACCACAAATAAAGAAGAGAAACGTTCCTCTGTCTTGCTTAATTTGCTAGAGAATTCCTCCAATGTTCCTGATGTATTTCTTGCGCCTTCTGCCATTTCTGATTACTTGTATGTAGAATATTATCAATTTCAAGGTTAACTGAACTATTTTTGGGGGGAGTTTGACGCACAAAACCATAATTTTTATTTGTTTTGATTTGTTTGAGATTAAAAAGAAAAAGGGACCTAAACCCAGCTCATGCAGCTGTAATCACAATAGGATTTACAGAGGTGTTAATGTATGCCGTCTTCCTCCTGCATCAAACGCAGCCCATTTCCATTAATTAATCCCTACGAACTCCCGGCCACAATGAAAATTGCTTAACCTCTTCAAACCATCCGCACTCTATTTTCTTAAGCTATAAATACGCATAATAGTTATTCGATCACAAGAAGCAAAGTCGTATGAAACCTAAAAATTGCATGAAACTTAACAAAAATCGAATCAATCAAATGCCGAAAACAAATTATATTAAAGAAAACACCTGAGCTGTGCGGTGAGACCACGAGAAGCAAAGTTATTCGATCACCAGGCTGAACAAGATGGGTAACAGCCCACAGCAGCGCGGCTCGTGGCACTTCCTTGGAAGCCTTTACAGCCACCACAACCCTCTCCTTCCGGCACACTTCGCCATTAATGTTTCCCATCTTCTGCCGCAAAATCGCAGCCATTCCTTCATTCCTCAGCTCAAGACAACTTCCTGGGCACTAATTAGAGCTACCAGAAAAAAAGAAAGAAAGGTAGAATGCCCGATTTCTATATACCACTGAGTTCTTATATATTTACATATCCAACCCATAAATATTTATATTTGTATTTATAATAGCTAAATCTTTAATATTGCATAAAAAACTACTAATATACTAATTATTTTAAAATTGCAAACACCATTTAGTGTAAATATCAACCTTTAGTTGTTAGATATGTAATTGTATTTACAGAACTATGTTAGGAAAGTTATGATCTGATTATGTACTTCTAGACCTCAACCAAAAGTGAGGTCAACAACGATCAAAATAAACCTATCAAAATATACTGTTTAATACGTGCAATAATGTATGTCATCTGTGCATACAAATATGTAGTTTAATTCACGATCAAAATAAACCTATCAAAATATATTGTTTAATACGTGCAATAATGTATGCGTGTGTTTTATTGATAGTTATAAGATCAAAATTATTTACTAAGTTGTACACATTTGGTCTTGGCATGTGGAATGATTAAAAGAAGTGGTATGTGTAGGATAGAAGGAAGAGAATGTCAACTTAGGGGTATGGAAATGTACCAATCAACATCATTTGAGTAATGATAATGTTCATCAACCTAGGAGGCCTAATGGTAAGCTTTTATTTTTCTTCTTTTAAAAATATAAGTGATGGCCTATATAAAGGATTATCATGACCTTATGAAGTGATTTGTAGTAATAGTAAATAGATGATTATTTTAAATACTAATTTTAATTCATGTAATAAAAAATAAAGTATTAAATAAAGAAAAAAAGAAAGAATAACATTTAAAAATCAAGACATACATATCAATAAGTTTCAATATCAAAATCAGTAGTACTTCTACCTTGAGTATTCTTCCTTCAAATCATCTATATGCACTTTTTTAGTAACATTAATATCTTCATCATTGCATCAACATCTTTAAGCTAGTAGAGTAAGAGATAAAGTAGACTGATGAGTCATAATTATGATGAAACTGAGATGTAGAATTAACATTAGAAACATAAATAGATCTTTCATCAACAAAAAAATTATGAATATTTTAATTTTCAACTAGTTTTATAGAAATTTATCATATATTTGATTATTATTATTATTTTACTTAAATGATTTCATATAACTTATGTACCATGTTGTCAGAAGCT